GTACACCAAAGGACAAGAAAGTAGGTCACATCATCAAAATCTAGGTCACCTGATATCAAAGTTCAATTTTACAACTAAAATTGTGCACATGGTCAAAATGTCATTGCTGTACATCAAAGAACAAGAAAGTAGGTCACTGTCCCCTTGGGCAAGGTATAATTTTGACCCAAGGGTTTAATTCAAAACAATTTTGATACAGGTCCACCAAACAACATTTCAAGTCAAATATCTAAGCTATAGCTTTCTCTCATTCAGAAAACATTTGTTTTATTTTCTGTTTTTACTATGTGTACATAATGAGAATCACTGCCCCGGGCAGGGCCAATTTTGACACCAGGGGAAAATTTTGAACAACTTTGGTAGACGACCTATAAATGATATTATATATCAAACATCAAAGCTCTATGCCTTGTACCTTCAGACAAAAATATTTTTTATTTTTTCACTATATGTACATAATGAAAATCAATGACCCCCGGGGCGGAACCAATTTTGACCCCAGGGCTATAATTTGAACAATCTTGCCAGAGGTTCACTACACAATGTTTCATGCAAAATATCTTAACTCTAGCCTTTGTAAATTTAGAGAAGATGATTTTTTAAGTTTGTACTATATACATATAAGGAAAACTATGGCCACCAGGGGGCGGGGCTAATTTTGACACAAGAGGCAAAACTTTGAATAACTTTTGTAGAGTACCTTCAGATGAATATAATTTAACAAATATTAAAGCTCTAAGCCTTGCACCTTCAGACAATAAGATTTATTTATTTTTTACTATATGTATATATTGAAATCAATGACCCCAAGGGCGGGGTCAATTTTGACCCCAGGGCTATAATTTGAACAATCTTGCTAGAGGTTTACTACACAATGTTTCATGCAAAATATCTAACCTCTAGCATTTGTCAATTGCTAGAAGAATTTTTTTTGAAGTTTTTACTATAATTTTTTACTATATACATATAAGGAAAACCAATGACCCCCGGGGCGGGGCCAATTTTGACCCCAGGGCTATAATTTGAACAATCTGGGTAGAGGTCTACCAGACAATGCCTTATGCAAAATATATAAGCTCTAGGCCTTTTGGGTCTTTACAAGAAGGTGTTTTAAGTTTTTACTATATTACATATAGTGAAAATCAATGACCCCGGGGCGGGGCCGATTTTGACCCAAGGGCTATAATTTGAACAATCATGGTAAGGGTCTACCAGAAGATGCCTTATGCAAAATATCTTAAGCTCTAGGCCTTTTGGGTTTTTACAAGAAGGTATTTTAAGTTTTTACTATATGTACATAGTGAAAATCAATGACCCTCGGGCGGGGCCAATTTTGACCCCAGGGCTATAATTTGAACAATCTTGGTAGGGGCTACCAGACAATTCCTTATGCAAAATATCTAAGCTCTTGGCCTTTTGGGTCTTTACAAGAAGATTTTTTAAAATTTATTCTTATAATTCCTTTTGGTTGCCATGGCAACCAGATTTCTGCATGGAATGAAATTCTTTGAACAACTTTGAAAGCCCTTTACCAAAGAAATCAATCCTGCCAAGTTTGGTTGAAATTCGACTAGTGGTTTTTCACAAGGAGATTTTTTAAGTTCACTATATAATCTATAGAACACACGTAAAACACACACACAAACACACACACACACAGGTGAATCGCATATGCCACCCCATCGCAGATGCTACGGTGGCATAAAAAGTGATTAAAATATTTAACAGATGTAAGTTTTTTGGAAAATATGGGACAAAAGAAAGTTATTTTGTATTGGGAATTGGACAATATATTAGCCCCTGGCGATATGTGGATAATGCCCAAAAAGTACCATGTCATAAATTTGACTTTGTAAACACCTAGATCAAGTTAAAAGTTTATAGATTTGAAACAAGATAAATATGTATAGATTTTAAGTAAGAATAATCCCTATATGTTGCCTTTTTCAAGGTGACACAAAAAAACAACAACTTATAAGGAAATTAAAGCACTTTTGGGTTTTTACAAAATAAAATGTTGTTTTTCAAAATGATAATTTTCAAATTAAAAAATGTAAAAATCACAAAAATAATATATCTGCCATAAAATATAACACATATAGCACCATTGCAGCAGTAGCACTTGAAACTAGTTTTTTTGTTACATATTAAAGAAATACATAAAAACTAAATATGCTCTAAAACACATTCTCTGAATACATATAAAAATAACAGAATATAAACAACAAAACATGTTTATGAGTTGCTGAAGTTCATTTTGTTTACAACATTTAACAACATTTTTAAAATGAGTATATTCAATCTTTATTGTAAATATCTGATAACACTTAAAGGGACTCCACTGAGGTTTTTTGATACCTGACTTTTTACTTTGATCATTTTGAGATTTTTACACTATTCAATGAATGGTCTATACCAATAACTTGTGTACAAAATTTCAAATAATTTGCTCACCAGGTTTTTCCAGAATTATCCTTTTTTATTCAACGAAATTACATAAAATTCAAAGGTGTTCAAATGCTTTTAACTAATATAGAGCTATAAATCATACTCAATATTGATTTTCTGTTTAATTCTTTGTATATATTTCATAAGTATTATCTTTTCCATACTGTTCTGTTCTAAAAGCCCTTGATGATTTATGCAAGATTTTTCAATTAATTCATATTTTTAGACTTTTGGACCTCAGTGGAGCCCCTTTAATAACATAATAAACTATTTATTTAGCTCACAAAAATTCCTTTTTTCTCTACTAGTTCATGTCTTAACTGTTACACATGGCAAAGTCTAAAGTTTACATCCAGCATCTTAGGTCTACATCCAATAATAACAATGGAAAGTTGTGTACAACTTTAATAAAACATTATAAAATCACAACAAAATATTTAACCCTCCAACCTCCCCTCCAAATAATTGCACAAAATCTTAACTACCACTCTCCATTTGATACAATAGAGTATCTATAATGCATAATATGAAAATGAGTACCATGAATTTTTTTTTTTACACTTGCAAATATTCATGCTTTGTTGAAGTGAAAAAAAATCAACAAATTAATACAATGTACCATAGCTTGATGAAACAGAGATTTAAACAGAGAGATTCAAATAGAGATTCGAATTTTAACAATATTAAGTTATGAGATTCAATCAAGATCAAACAATGAAATAAAACAGTCTTCATTCTTCACATCAAAAGATTTTATTTTGTACAATAAACATCAAAAACAAATTACAAGCATTTTCCCTGGCACACTTTAGTGTGCTTTATTGCACACTTTTTTTAAAAAAATATTATATTCTATATAGATAAAAAAGGGGGAAAATCAATTACTTTACAAAACTTGATAATGAAAAATTTGAAAAAAAAACGATGTTGTGATAACAATTATTGACTGGAAATAAATTATTGGTGATTAACCCGTAACCTGCTATATTTCTATAATGGACCTGTCCAGCTTTGAATTTGGAACAGTCCATTCAAAGTTTAGGGGTTTCAATATCAAAATACAAAAATTGAGCTGCCAACACTACAGAGCCTGGTCAGACTGCAGGGATGTACAGGCTGGCTTGGCTCTATACTGATGGCGAAGATTGATCACTTCTTGTTCCAGCAGGTTAAAGGTTAAGAAGGCACTATTTTTTGCATAGATTTTTTATTCAGCAGAATGTCTTTTAGAATGCTAACACATTCATATGCACAATACAATATATGTTTTTTATAAAATGCACAAATATGACTGTATCTTTTGATCTTTTAAGTGTTAAGATAATTTTGATGTAAAAAAAGTTCTATAATAAAACCTTTCTATATTAAGCTTAAATGTGTCATAATTACTTGCCTTTAAAATGTCCCAAAACCCAACTATACAACTGATTAAAATTTCAAAGTGGGTGTGGCTACTGATTAAAATTTCAATATGGGTGTGACCACTGATTAAAATTTCAAGGTGGCTGTGACCATGGATTTAAATTTCAAAGTGAGTTTTACCACTGATTAAAATTTTCAAAGTTGGGGTGATCAATGATTAAAATTTCAAGATGGGTGTGACCACTGATTAAAATTTCAAAGCGGGTTTGATCACTGATTAGAATTTCAAAGTGGCTGTTACCAAGGATTTAAATTTCAATACAATACAATACAGTTTATTTGCTTTAAACATTATAACAACGTTTCTAGCATAATAAAAATTCAAAGTGGGTGTGACCACTGATTAAAATTACAAAGAAGGTGTGACCACTGATTTAAATTTCAAAGTGGGTGTGACCACTCATTAAAATTTCAAGGTGGCTGTTACCAAGGATTTAAATTTCAAAGTGGGTGTGACCACTCATTAAAATTCAAAGTAGGTGTGACCACAGATTAAAATTTCAAGACATTTATTTAACCCTGTTACCCACTTATCTACTAATTTAATATAGCCACTTAAAATGAGGCTAAAATGTATGTATATCAAAAATTCTACTTCTAAAATAAAATCATGTACACAAATAAATCATTTTTAATTTAACAACCTTCTTAAAATAGAAGTTTATCTGTTTTCAAAAAAAATCTGTAAAAATATGTTCTATAACAATATCTTATAACTTTATTCCAACTATATCAAGATAACTCTACTATGAAGTTTCATGAAAGTAAAACATTAATTAATAAACTATAATTATCATAATGATTTTGATCATAAAATATGCACTAATTAGTTTGTTCTACACACTTTTCTACATACTATGCATGTTAAAGACAGGAAGTTTGTCTCCTTCAGTAAATACTATTGATGACTGCATTTAAGAAGTAGTCATGAGTAAGAAATGAGCTGCGTTCTGACAAAACCAACATAGTGGGTTTGCGACCAGCATGGATCCAGACCAGCCTGCATATCCGCGCAGTCTGATCAGGATCCATGATGTTCGCTTACAAACCCTATAACAAATAGAGAAACTGATAGTGATCAGACTGCGCAGATGAGCAGGCTGGTCTGGATCCATGCTGGTCGCAAACCCATTATGTTGGTTTTGTCGTGTCGCGGCTCAAATATATTACATGGAAGCCATGAAGTTAATGAGAGGCACCCTGTCTTAATTAACATGGTAAGGATGAGACTTCAGTGAGATCATCATCATAGTCTGTATACGTGTATGTATCAGTAAGATCGTCTGTCGTTACATCATCATACTCGGAATTAAACTCCTCATAATCTATAAAATCAAACATGCCTAAATTACGTTCCAACCCACTTGCTGGTTTTTGATTAATAATCTTATTCAGTTTACTGTTACTGTGAGTTTTGTTAGATTCTGGAAGCACTGCACTGTTCTGTTGCAACATTTTTAGTCTTGAGTTCCGACTTGATGCCGACCCTGTAGTTGCACTTCCTGACCTTGAAGCCGACCTTGACCCTGAGGATAATGACCCCTGTGAACCTAATTTTTGTTTTAATTGTTGTCGCTGTTGTTCTAAAGTCAGAACATTCATATTTGCAACAGGGACACTTTTGTTTGAACCCTGTTTTCCTTTTGATTTAGAATCTGTCATAACATTTGAATTTAAAGTCGCAACGGTTTTCGTCTTATTTGGAACTACATGACTTTTCTGTGCTTTTCCGGAGAATGCACCAATAAAGTCATGCTTTCCCCTAACTTTTGGTTGTTCGTCACTAGCAGGACCAGGTCCTGTGTGTGGTCGTTGTATTTGTTCAATAATCTTTGGACATTGCTTATCTACCTTTGGATCATTTAAATCACATACATTAGCCAGAACATCACCATGTTTTGCTCTTTCTAATTGTTCTTGATCAATATTCAACATGTTAGTATCTTTTGTAAATGTATCACCTAATCCTCTAGCTTCACTTAAGTCATAAGTTTTTCCTAGTTCATTCCGCTGTTCTGCTTCTATATCTAAAACATCTGCTGTCTTTTTTGGACTTTGCCTTAATTTTTCCTTCTCTTTTTTCCCTGTCAACACCTTTGAGGGCGAGGATGGTTTCTTTTTAGAATGCTTTCGATGCTCCTCCTCCACATTAAGCATGTCTAAATTCACCGTCGGTTCAGAACTAATGTCTGATTTAATCTGTTCCTCCTGTATATTTAACAGGTCAACATTTTGAGAAAAGTTTTTATGAGCACCGCAATGTTTACAGTGTTCCGCCTCAACATTGAGTATATTCACGCCCTGAGTAGGTTGAACTTGGGACAATCGTGAGGAAATCCCACTATCCTCGGCTTCAACATCGTCCGGTAAAACATCACCCATTGTCTCGTATTTTCTGTACGGGTTTGTATACGGTCGTTGCATTTCATATGTATGATTCTGTTTACACTCTTGTTCTAAATTAGGGACAGTCTTTTCTTCTTGTGGACTTACGATTGGATCTTGCACTTCAAAATGTTTTTTGTCCATTATCTGAAGCTGACCTGGATAAGGCCCTTGTCTTTTATCAAAAACTATTGGAGGGTTGTAAAAACATTTTTGGCTAGGACTGTATGCTTCCATCGGGTCAAACAACTGACCAGGGGCGTGACCTTTTGTATGCAGGAATCTAGACCAACTAAGACCATCCCCCAAATCCAGTCGGCCATTGTGACCAATTTGACGTTTGTGATTTGTAGCAGACGACACACGACTTCCTGGCTGAGACTGCGATTTTCTTACCCCTTCATCTCTTTTGGCATTGTTCCTCCTCTGATCTAGCACATAATTACCTGAAAATGGTCTTTTCCTGTCAGTTCTATCTGTATCCGGCCTCGGCATTTCTGGAGGTAGATTGACCTTGGTGGTTGCATATTTAATGTCTTTTGAATTTGACTGACTGGCTCGGCTGCCTTTACTTCCCCTACTTGAGGCGGAACCTAGACGTCCACTGCCCATTACATCCCTATGACTTGAATTTCTACTGTTATTAGAGTTGGCTCGCGCTTGTTCAAATATTTCATTCACCAAGGGCCCTAACTCTTTCAAATTTCCCCTTATTTCACCAGTTTCTCTAAGGTTTTCTTCTGTGTGAATTGTCTGATTACCTCCCATTTCAATATTGTCTTCATCCTCCTGATAGAAACTAGTTTCAGTCATTTCAAGTTTCACTTCCCTTCTTCTTCCTCTCCTGTAACTGCCACTAGGGGATGGATTAGCTCCCTTTAAATTTGAAGTATTTCCATTAGAGTTATCTTCCTTGTTCTCCTCTTTGTTAGCAGTAGGGGGCAGGGCAGCTTGGGTCGTAAATATTGAAAAATCTGGCAGTTTTTGTTTTGTTTGAGGTAGTTCGATTTCTGAAATACTGTTACCAGTGGTCACTGAATCTGATAATATATTCGATGAACCTAATGACTGCATAGGAATGAAATTTTTATTGAATCCTACATTTGGTGGTTGAGATGATAACCGGCTAACATCCGATGAATCACTTGCAAAGTGTCTATTCATTTGCTTTAACCGATGTGCTTGAATGGCAGCCATATTGCTTGATATAGGTTCAAGAATAGGCTGTATACGGTTTTGACGTTTCTTTCTCCTTTTTCTCCTACGTTTCCGTCTTTCTTCTTCTCGTATTTCTCGCTCAATGTCACTTAGTTTCTGACTCATACTAGACTCGTAAGATTGTCTCCTTGACGACCTCGAGTGTCTAGATCCGAGTGAGATTGCGTCTGAAACATAAAAAGACTGTTAATGAACTTTAACCACATTTAAATTTTGTTTTAAATTGTAACTGTAAAACTTTTCTTTGATTAACGCAAGGATTGCAAGGAGGTGTATATCTGTCACAAGTTTTTTACCCCCTTTTTCTTTTAACAGGAATAATTGCAAATCATGCCATATTTTCCCCTCCTGGGCTGCAAATGCAAACTGCCACGATTATTTTATCAATGGTAAATTAACATCTCTAACAACAATGCAGTACAAATGACTCTAAATTTAAGTTAGTGGCATAGCCAAGTGGTTAACATATTTGGAACATTCTAAGCCTTGCTGGCTGTTGGGGTTCAAAGCCCTTCAGATGCAAGCTGTTGTTTTCTTGAAAAAATGAACTTTATACTTATAGAGTAGAACTGGTTGGGTCCAAAAATGGATTCAAAATGTCTCTATAGTCTACAAGATTATAACTTAATTTAATTGCTTGATGTAAAGAAACAGAACAGTAACATATAAAACAGTACATACCAGAATCAACATGTCGATGCCGGGATCTTCCGGGCCGCATCATACCTCGTAGATGTCGCCTACTGTGTTTTGGCATAGAGACTGCAAAACCGGAGGACTGCGAGTGAGAACTGGCACTACTGCGATCAAACCTCATTCCTGGAAAAGAAAACATAAAACTATGAAAATTTACACCAAAGTGTTGCCAAAAGTTTTCATTTCTTCAGCTTCATGTTCATTTCCAACCAGACATCATATAAAGGCAATATCAAAACATAACACATGAAAAGATGCGTTATTTTCCTTTGTTTATTTTAAATCTGTAATCAATTAAATTACAATAACTTTAAGAGAGTAAATGATTGATAATTGATTACATTCAATTTATAACTGTAAAACATAAGTTAAACTGTATCATGTGAACTATATCTTGTCTTACTATGTTAAGTCTGACAAACAAAACATGAACATCTAACTTTTGTTCAGTAGTTTTTATACCTTAGCAAAAGTAAGGCTAGAAACAGTACATTGTTATACGAAAACTGCCAGCTAAAGTTATCTCTGCTTGAAAAAATAGCATTAGTGTTCTCCCTTACTTTGTCTTGTAACATATCATAACTTTGATTCGAAATTAAAATTGTAACATCAAAATTAAGTCTTGTACAAATAAAGATCAGTCTGAGCAGTATTTTTTCAACTACTTAACACCAGTTTTGTCCATCTGATCATCAAAATTCCAAACCTGTGTTAAATAGCCGATAAACATCACTGAAACCAAAATTATTTCTTAAACAAGATGGTTGAAAAATACAACACCACTGAAACCAAAATTATTTCTTAAACAAGATGGTTGAAAAATACAACACCACTGAAACCAAAATTATTTCTTAAACAAGATGGTTGAAAAATACAACACCACTGAAATCAAAATTATTTCTTAAACAAGATGGTTGAAAAATACAACACCACTGAAACCAAAATTATTTCTTAAACAAGATGGTTGAAAAATACAACACCACTGAAATCAAAATTATTTCTTAAACAAGATGGTTGAAAAATACAACACCACTGAAATCAAAATTATTTCTTAAACAAGATGGTTGAAAAATACAACACCACTGAAATCAAAATTATTTCTTAAACAAGATGGTTGAAAAATACAACACCACTGAAATCAAAATTATTTCTTAAACAAGATGGTTGAAAAATACAACACCACTGAAATCAATTTCTTAAACAAGATGGTTGAAAAATACAACACCACTGAAATCAAAATTATTTCTTAAACAAGATGGTTGAAAAATACAACACCACTGAAATCAAAATTATTTCTTAAACAAGATGGTTGAAAAATACAACACCACTGAAATCAAAATTATTTCTTAAACAAGATGGTTGAAAAATACAACACCACTGAAATCAAAATTATTTCTTAAACAAGATGGTTGAAAAATACAACACCACTGAAATCAAAATTATTTCTTAAACAAGATGGTTGAAAAATACAACACCACTGAAATCAAAATTATTTCTTAAACAAGATGGTTGAAAAATACAACACCACTGAAATCAAAATTATTTCTTAAACAAGATGGTTGAAAAATACAACACCACTGAAATCAAAATTATTTCTTAAACAAGATGGTTGAAAAATACAATCTCCACACCCATCCCTATAAAACAAACTATGTGAGAGACTACATGAACACCTTACCAACAGGATCATCATGGTCTGTACCATAGCTGATTGACAACCTCTCATTACTCCTTTTCTTTTGACGTTTAAAAGCTCGTGCCACCATTCTGTGTTTCCGTAACTTCTGGGGGCGATTGCTTGGCTTGTTACATAATCTACATCAATCAAAAATTTATTTACAATATGTGTTTATAAAGGAAAAATGGTTTTTATTTCTTTTCCATTATATATAAACAATTATGCTCACTGTTACATTGTCCCAATCAATAAAATTAATTTCCATAAATTCAAAATATCAACAAAACTAGAAAAGTAAGAAGGGGGAAAACATCTACGGATTTTCATTAAACTTCATTAAAATTCTTTACTAATTTTCTTTCTAATATTTTTTATAAACCACCAGTTTCTTTATTTACACTTCCTTTATCAGATTCAAAACCAACAAAGTTTATCTAAAATAGTTTTTCTGTTTTTATGCTAATTTCATACATTATTTTGGTCAAATCTCAAGGGGTCTATCAATTTAACCAATTTAAATTCTTTACAAATACCTTCTGTATAATCTTTCCCAAACCTCAAGCGAAGCTTTCGTCCACGACCATGAGCTGAACACTATTCCCGCAAAGAAAAATGCAAACACATTAATCATTGCAGCTGAGAGGCTTGGCCTACTCTCCATCTCACAGGAGCTTGGTGCAGCATTGTCCAGAATCTGCATCACTGAAACGTTTGCTTTGCAACTGCAAATCAAAATGTACATTACACTGATCACTGTACAGTAGATTACAACAGCAATCATAATGATATATGGAGTAACTTAAAATGCTACCATACCATTATCAAAAGGGGGATAAATAGTGTTTTACTTAGCGTGAGGGATGTTGCATTTTTTCATTATCCCTCATGTACAGACTCGATCAAACTGAGTCTGCAATTTTCATGTTATTTTGTTGTGATAAGTGCTTCCAAGGGATTACCCTTTGCCCAGATTTCATAGAATTTAAGTATTATTGCATAACTTGCATTTCTAATTCTCAATGTATTACATGTACATTTTAATAAACATCATGAAGCCCAGGCTGAGCTAAAAATGCATACTATCAACAACAAACCAGGGTCATGAGAAAGTTCGTACAACATTCAGAATAAAAACTTAAAGGTCAACAAGTTAAAGTAACTCTCGCACTTACTATGTAAAGTCCATCAAACTTTTATTCCAGTCATCAGACTTCACGAATGTATATACATGAATACAGGTGGTAAAAATGACCAGGATGAACGTTAGGACAATGAACACACCTGTAAAAAGATACGTTTTAAAAGATGTTTTCAGGAACTTGGCAAATGTCAGTTTTTTCCCATATTCCCGCAAACAAACTTTACTATTAAAGTAACAGTTCATTACATTTCATTTATTATCGATATGTATTTACCAAATTGTAACTGTAAAAGTTTATTTGTAACCCAAGATTTCATTGGGAATACCCCCACATTTGCTGTTCCGGTGAATCTCTACTGACATATAATATGACTTTAAAATAAATATCCAAATATATAATACATATGTTCACTGGAATTGCAAGACTATTAAACATTTCATATCTTAAACTCATCTTTTAATAATACTTAAAGGCAAACTATATTTAAGTCAAATTATGTCACAGTTTTGTTGTACAATGGCAACGCTTAAAATTTGATATAATTGCTATTCATAAAATTAGTACAGTACATAATGAAATAATGATTAGACATCCTAATCTAAAGAAATCAGCCTTTAAAGTTCAAATGTTTTTTACTTTACTTCATTAACAAGCTTTTACCTAATCTTATAATGGTATCATGAATTTTCGCTGTTGCTTTCTCTCCGATAAAAGGTGGAGAGTCCTTTTTGACTTTAATCAAAGTCAGAAGTCCTGAAAGTTAAACAGAAGTGGTAATATTAAACACCTTGAAAAATGACAATTCATTACTTATTAATAGATCTTAATTTCTGGATGTGAGTTAACCTTAACAATGCTGAGGCAAAGTTTACAAAATTGGTGTAATCCACAAATAGCGGGAAAAAACAGCATGTCCATCCACTTAAGCAAGCCTCTATATAAAAATTAATCATACAACAATATAATAGCCCAATATTTTTTTGGTTGCATTTAATGCCACACCAACACAGTTAAGGTCATATGGTGACTTCTTTGCTTTACAGGGAGGAAGACCTTAGGTGTCCTTCTGCGCATTATTCCGGGTACTAATAGGCACCTGAGTAGAACCACTGACATTCCGTAAGCTAGCTGGATAATTATCTGACCAACTTCCAAATATTTCATCATGTTATCCCAAAAAATTGGTTATGGTAATAAACTTTTCCCAAAAAAGAAAGAGTACAATTCCATTACACACAGTTAGCATTTTCAATTCAACAAAAGACTATTCCAGTTATAAGGCTTGGTATCTTCTCACCCCATACATCACACTTTTTCTACTAAGACCTTACCACATAGTCATTACTACATAGACCTTTTAAATCATGTAATTTCCCCCTAAAACTCACTATACAGCAAGTTTTTTCTTCCCCTTTTGCAGAAATACAGTGTTCATTTTCCCTAAATTAAAGACTAGGGTCCTTGCCCTTACATGTAAACACAAGCACCATAAAGGCCGAGCAATATACGTCCGATTGTATTTGTTTGAATTTGATACAAAATGACTATGACCTTTGTTTTATTATGGTAAACATTTCTGCCAAGAAGTTTCAATTTCCTTCCAAGGGTTCAAGATACAGACCAGACACAAAAAAGGAAAGTGTACATAGTAATTGTGTACAAACCTCTTATAGAAAAAAATGCCCCAACAACCAGGGCGATGCCTATTGGTGCTAGAACAAAGCCAGTCCTTATTCGGCTGTCATAAAAACCAGGAAAACATATACCGCTCAGGGAATCAGCATCAATCTGTAATACAAGATAAGGCACATATGAAGTGTATTGATGTAACAAGGGAGACAACTACAATGGTCATATAATGTATGTACTGTTCAAATAGATGTGAATCTTAAAGGTACTCCACTGAGGCCAGAAGACTAAAAACATAAATTTCAATTTCTTACATTTATCAACTGGGGCATTTAACACAGAAATATATGCAAAAGATAATAAAGAAATATACTAAGTACTAAATTGAAAATTGTATTTGTGTCCTATTTTAGCCCGATTTCAGGGAAAAGCATTGCAACGCTTTTCAATTTTGGGTCATTTTTCACAATAAGAATAATTATTCTGGAAAAAACTGACTGCACTAATGATCTGACATTTTACACAGAAGTTATTTGTCTACATGTAGATCTACATCAAATGAAACATAAATCTCGAAAAATTATTTCAAGTCCTGACATGTCAAAAACCTCAGGGGAGCCCCTTTAATGGTGTCATTTTTTTACTGTTCAAATCATTGTAAAAGTGACTTACAGCCAGGCCCAAGAAGTATGCTTCAACTATTGTTAACCTAACATTGCCTGGCTTACTTCTAGTAATGTAAACAGGGTTCCCGCTGTTACTCGCCCATGGCGCCACAATATTAATTCTGGCACACAAAATCTTTTTATTGGTGACATTGGGAAAAGGCATGCCTTGACCTTTGGACTTGATGATAATATTGCCAATGACTTTCTTTAATAATAAAGCATTTTCTGTAATAATAGCCAGCTAAATGCTTGGACATCTGTATGTTACTTATTACATCAATTTCATAAGTTATAAATGTGATTCATTTTCACTTACAACAGAAATAGAGAGGCAAACAATGGTCAGCACTAGTGGTAGACACCAGCTGATTATATGGAAATATGCCGTCTTCTTGGACAGATCGTCTCGCACCGTACCAAGAGCTTTAAAATGGATGTCCCATGAGTATGCCAACATAACAAACCAAACGACACCCGCCATCACAAAGTAGTAAATGAGAATAAACACCACTGTACATGAAGCCGTCTCTCCTGATCTAAAAATAGAAACAATGGTTTTAAAATGTGCAAAGTTTCAGATCATACTAAAATCATGTAAAGCTACTGGCAAAATTTTCATACCTCTTTTTCTCCATTATATATATTTCTTTTCTTACTTTTCGATCTAAAAATATTTACCAAGTAAAAAGACATGACAAAAAAAATTACATTCAAATCATAAATCTCACATAATAATTCTAAACAAATAACATTTGTATAATACTCTCCAATGCCTAAGAATAACACCTATACATATAGGAATTAATCTGAAAAATTGGAAAAAGGGTAACCAAAATAATGTGCACCCGTTTTCAAAAAAATGTGGCCGCAGCCTTTTAATACTTTATGAAAATTGGAAATCTTGTCCCATAGCTTATAATGTTATCATTTCAACATCATATTTTTTCCAAGTTAAATTGAATTTTCATTAAATCTGACATCAAAACAAGTTTTGGCGGCAGACTGTTGGACAATTAAATCTATAAGGAACCTAAGAAACATAAGCAAAACATCTGTTGTTTATCATTAAACACAACTGTCAAACAGTTGTTTGCCTCATTTTTTAAAATATAGTAAATTTCTCGTATATTTTTATTTAGCCTTTGGTTTGAATACATTTTACAGTCACAGGTTTATATATTTCTTATCATACTTAGGATATGTGTTGGAAATTTCAATTATTTTATCGTTCTAAAAATTTACAATGAAAATGAAAATAAACAAAAAGATACATAACTACATTTTTATCGCAGAGGACCACCTTAAATATGCAATACCTATAATCAATGGTTCAAATGCAAATGTAGATCCAGGATTTTTCTCTAGAGGGAGTCACAAAAGTTCTACGATGAGAAATGCATATTCAAGATGGTGTTTGCCATTTTCTTTATTTTACAAATTGGATCACAAACTTTAGCTGATATACAAAACTTTTTGTATGATTTTCAATACAGAAACAAAATTTGATATCCAAATCTCAAAGGTGTTTCCAATACTAGCCAAATCCAAGGCCCCCGAAAGGTAGGGGAAGGGGGATGGGATGTGCTGTAATGATCCCCTAAACCCCCACCCCTCCGAGTCTGCTCGTGCCATGTAATCCACCAAATTAATGATTTTAACAAAATAATGTTACCCAATCAATGGTTCTCCTGTGCGAATTGTTCCGTCTTTCCGACAAATCACATCTTCTCTTGAGGTAAACTGGGCCAGCCAGCCAAGCGTGGCGATAAAAAAACACCCATTTATATAGAAGAGTATAACCGCCGGGTATTTTCTCGCAACTTTCCAGTCTAACATGAAGGTTACCTACAATTAAAAAGATTTTTTTTTTTTGGTTGGGTTTTAAGTTGCACCAACACAGTGTAGGTCATATGGCGACTTTCCAGCTTTAATTACAATTGAGGAAGACCTCGGGTGCTCTTTCATGCATTATTTTAGACACAAATGGGCACCTGATTAAACAAGAGCCCGGTTTGAGCCGGGTGATGCTCCCCGAATAGGTTTTGGACACAGGAAAGTACACCTCTTGTAGTTGTAAGGCTTAACAGAGTTATGGTTCTTTTGCACTGCACCTCTACTCAATGAGATCTATCTACCTACGATGTTTCATGTTGATATCTCTTATAGTTTTAGAGTTATGCCCCGGACAAGATTTTTCTATAAGGGGAGATAATTCAAAAACCAGGCAAAATAGAGTTATGGTTCTTTAACACTGCACTCCCCCTCGATGCCCTCTACCACTGTATGAAGTTTCAACAAATTATCTCCAAGGGTTTTCAAGTTATGTTCCGGACAAAGTTCAAGTTTAAAGTATTAAAATTAACAAAGGGCAATAACTCCAAAATTAGGACAAAAAGAGTTATTGTTCTTATGCACTGCACATCTACGCATTGAGATCTATTCACCTACAAAGTTTCATGTTGATATCTCTTATAGTTTTAGAGTTATGCCCCGGACAAGATTTTTCTATAAGGGGAGATAATTCAAAAACCGGGCAAAATAGAGTTATGGTTCTTTGACACTGCACTCCCACTCGATGCCCTCTACCACTGTATGAAGTTTCAACAAATTATCTCCAAGGGTTTTAAAGTTATGTTCCCGACAAAGTTCAAAGTATTAAAATTAACAAAGGGCAATAACTCCAAAATTAGGATGAAAAGAGTTATTGTTCTTATGCACTGCACATCTACCCATTGAGATCTATTCACCTACAAAGTTTCATGTTGATATCTCTTATAGTTTTAGAGTTATGCCTCGGACAAGATTTTTCTATAAGGGGAGATAATTCAATAACCAGGCAAAATAGAGTTATGGTTCTTTGACACTGCACTCCCCCTCGATGCCCTCTACCACTGTATGAAGTTTCAACAAATTATCTCCAAGGGTTTTCAAGTTATACTCCGGACAAGACAACGGACGGACAGACGGACGGACGGACAGACGGACAAGGCGCCGACAATATGCTCCCCCGAAATTTTTCGGGGAGCATAAAAAAAGTAACACTCAAATTGATTAATTCAAGTTAAAGCTGCTATTACTGCATATATGTAAATTGAAAATTTACTAGAAACGTTCTGTCAAATATCATAAGTGTTTTAAAAATCGATATCTTTGTAGATCTTGGCTCAATGGTTGTCTTAAAACATGCTTTAGTGCCAAATATATATGCATTAAGTAAAAATTATAAAATATAACATTAAAGTAATTGAAATTATAGATGCCCAATAAGTTCTTTAACATTTTCAATATGTCTACTCTGAATTGTGGCATTATAAGCAGACCCTTTCAACAAGAGATTTCTTCATTGTTTAAATCATAACAAGTATATTTCTGCAGCTATAATGTATTAAATTTCACTGTTTCAACAAAATTCAAACTTAAAAACAACAATTATTCACATAAACATTACAATTAACAGCAAACAGAAACAACGATCTATAAAAACTACGGAAATGAGTTCAGAAAACAGGATTAAACAAGAATTTGGGGAGGGAGATAACAAACAAGAACAGCAAGCTGTTATATTAGTAGCCTTTAAACATTCTAGCAATCACTATTAAACTTAAAGCACACAGCAACTGGTTAGTTCAACAAAAGCATACAAAAGTTTGTTAGATATATCATGTACATTTTATTTATCACATGACATCATTTGTCTTCAGAAGTTAAAAGTGCTGTACATAGATTCTTATTTCATACCGATTGGAACGCATCTTTAAATCCATTATTATTCATGATTTTTTTCATTTTCGCTATTACTTGCGATAGAACGAAAGCTGATACTAGTATATGAAATGAAAACTTATGTATGATCCCATTTAAGTACATTTTAAAACTGTAGTAAAAGTTTAAATATCTTTGACTCACTTTGTAACTGTTCAGAAAATATGGTCCTTCCTAAATCTACTATATCTGACCTCAAGGTTATAAAGCTTTTCTGACATTAATAGTGGAAAAAATACCACAAGTGATGTATTTATGGCATAATCAGGCATCAGCCTTTTGTAAGCTAATTTAAAGGCCCACAATTTCTCAAAATTTTTGTTTTCATTTCTCAAAAGCTTTTTATTTTTGATGTCATGTTGCAGAAAGTTACTGAATATTTTTAAATTCTATAACATAACAAAACAAGGTGAGAAGAACACATGAGAAAAAGGTGATAATAAATGTTAGTGGTGCATATATATATAGGTATAAACTTACCGTTTGGATACATGTATATTCCCAGTCTGTCAGTAAACAAAGCAAGCAAGACATGTGTTAGTAAGCCACTACATGTATAAATCTAGTACTAATCAATTACGGCTATTTAATGCCCGTACGTATTACGAAGGCGTCACAAATAAGGCCTTATTAAAGTAGATCTGTTTTCATGACTTGTCAGTACATTTTATAAGACTTTAAGTTATACTCATAATCCAGCTGACAAGTCAATATACTACAGTTATGTGTGTAAAATATCATCAGGGGTGGGGAAATATTATTCCCAACTCACCCTACTCAAGACTTTTTGCCTGTGGACAAGTACATTTTCCCACATTTGTCAGGACAAGTCAAATTTGTGAGGTAAAAAATGCCACTAGAATTGTATATTTCTATCCCTTATTTCTATCTTGTTATATAGAGGATATTTGTTTAGTTCAGTGTAAGATCGGAATATATTTCACCGAGTGAGCACCAAAAGGTATATTTCACGAGTGACGCAGCCACGAGTGAAATATGAACTTTTGGTGTTCACAAGGTGAAATATATTTCGATCTTACACTAAACTAAACAAATTTTCTTTTTATTATATGCAAAGAAACGTTTTAAAAAGACATTAAACCCAATACTGAATGAAAAGCGCGCCAAATGATAATACAACGTGACGTCATTTACGACGTCATGTCATTAAGTTGGTACCCAGTACTGTGCACGCTGGTATTTCACTGAAACAACGTAAGGGGCTTAAATTCAAAACAGTGAAATTATCAAAGTGGTAATTTCACTGTTTCAAACAGTGAAATTACAAGTTTAATATCACTGATATATTTCTATAAACCACCGAAAAGCATGTAATAAATTCAATTCATTTCAAGTAAAATGTGTAAAAGCAATATCTAATGTCACTTAAAGAGATGGAAAGCACTTTTAGTATGTTTTAACCATTAGATAAAGATTACCTGTCAACAAAGACCACTAAGTTGCTAAAGTCAAGTGGCCTCTTAAGACAGGTTTGACTATATAAAATAAAATTTCATTTCTACATATTACTGATGGAATAAAAACATCACTTTCTTATTTGGTAAATGTATGTTATAGTTTCATTTTTGAGGTCATCATATGTGAAATTTCATAAGCAAACAGTATATACTGCTACAAACATATAAACATGGGTGAAAGTTAGGTATTGAAAATCTTGGATTTAGCCATTTTGTTTTAGTTGATACCAATTTAATTTAGTTCCATTGTGTTGGAAGCTATAAGCTTATTGAAACACTCTTGAATCTGTTCCTGGAACCAACCAGTGCTAAGCAATGAGTGTAAAGTTTATTGCTCAAGGAAACAGCACATTATGCCTCTGACAGGGTAAGGTTTGAACCCATGCGGTTAGCAATCCTTAGATTACTCGTTTGATGTGGTAACCACTCGCCCACGCTGCCACTCATTTTGTTTTCAAGTTTTATGCAAAATAAATATGGCTCTTAGTAGTCTATAATATAAATCCTTAATTAACAATAAAACTAAAACTTTCACCTATGTATATTAAAGCCTATATATATATGTAAATAACAATATTTTATTATCAGCATGCATGTAGTATCTTGTTATTACATATTTTTAGTTTTCTAAATGTTAGTTTTATATTTAAACACACAAAGACAAAAAAAAATTTAAAAAAACTATTTAAAGCAAGCAAAATTTTAAAACACACGTAGAAGCATTATGCTGATTAAAAACACATGGAATAATCAAATTTAGTTTAAAATGGTAAAATGTTACTAAAATGTGCACAAAACTGAAACAAATTTGGAATAATAGAAAAGAATATAGGTAAAAAAAGTCCCCTCAAATTGCTATAAAACAGAAATCAGAGATGTATTGTTTATAACATTATAATTTTTTCAACTATTTTTTTTATGTTTTATCATGGGCAATGTATTTGTATTTGTGTTAAGATTTTACCTTTTAGGATTACATGTATATTTTAAACAAGAGCTGTCAGCAAGAAAGCATGCTGGACTATTTTCAGTGCTTAATAGTAAAACAAGAGCCTGGATAATGTAGGATTTTCTAAATTCAATAAGGGTCATAAATCTGTCCAAATCCATGTTAGAGTTATGGGTGTTGGTGTGTGACCCCCTATTATGCTCTCAAGTAAGTGTGTGAAGTCTCAACCCATTGCCTTCTTTAGTTTTGAAGATACCAACTTTTTTTTTCTTTGTGTGTGTGCTGGGGTGGAGAAAAAGTATCTTAGTCTAACTGGTTGGCAGTTTCAACAAGTATTAACAGTGCCTGAATTCTGATCATCCAAAAATAACTAGTAACATTTGCAAAGTAAAAATGTCAATTAAATATTTAGAAATTTGCCAGTGGAAAAAAAAACACATTGTCCTTTGTTCCGTAAATTTTTAAAATACAAGTTATTTGCTTTCTGTATGCATTCTATAAACAATTGTGATACCAAATAAGTTTCTAGACAATTCATTTCATAACATATCTGATCTCTGTTCTGGCATATAAAATATTTTTCCACTTTTCCCCCTTTTTTGACGCACCCATTCAAACAAAAATTACCTTTTTCAGGCAACGCATAGCATTCACGTATAACAAATTAAAACATACCAGTGTGAACAATGTACACAGTAGACATATCCCTGCCAATGTGGCCACAACAATATGGGCGGTCTCATGCTGGGACTTTGTATAAAGTGGAGTCTCGCACTGAATACCGCAACCTTTTATCTGCTCGTACCAGTTCGACTCTAGGCTGGTATCTATGAGCGGGGACGTACAACTGCTGCTTGTGTCAAAATTAGAAGTCTCGTACACAGTTTGCTGGAAACAAAAACGTGAATAAAACAGGATCTTGTATACAAATACATGTAAATTGTTTTATGCCTTTTTTTGGAAACTGTGTCAATTGAACTACTATTAAATATGTATGAAGAAAACCATTTAAAGTTGAAACTATGCAAATTTACAAGTTGGGTCTTGCAAAGCATTCAAACAATATTGATCATCAACTTAAGTTTCAGTTTTGTTTACTCAAAAGTAATGTTGTTCACAGCATTATTCTGACTTTTGTATGGTGCTTGAATTTTATTTGCATGCCTAAACCTATCATTTTGAAGTCATTAAAGTGATAACATACCCTGCACACCATTAAAACAAAATGTCATGGTTTGAAACAATCATAACTTACCCCACAGCTTTGGGCATAAAACCATTGGTCACACTGCAAAAACCAAGGCCATGAACCATTGTAATGCTTTACTACTTCACATGGTTCCCGCACTCTTTCACATAATTCTTTGTTGGGCATTTCAACCTAAAAAATATCTAACATTTTTACAAATTTTCCTTCTTAAAGACAAGATTATCTCAACATGAAAGATAATATCAGTTGTTACACATTGGCACTTACAACTTACATGTACGAAGTTAAGTCAGCTCTAGTATTAACAATTTCAAGATACAATATTCAAATATTATTCCTTGTAGAATTTATTATTCTATGGTATTATATTATTGATGCTAAAAAAGTTCATTATATAATTGAAACCAAAATGATTAATTCAATAATTTATAATACACTGTAGACACAAACATTTCTTGTTTACTTTCCTTTTCTTCTATAATAAGCACACAATGCAGTGAATTTCTAAAGAAAAATCTACCAATAAAACTTCAAATTTGAAAGAAATATGATTCAAAACTTTATGGTATTTCAATAACATTAAACCTTTGAGTTTCCTGCGTCACATTTTGGTAGGTAAACTGAGCATAAGTAAGGCTGAATGAGATTCCAGCATTCTGGCACGCCCTGCAGCTGTCGCCACACTTCAAGCTGCTCCAGTATCTCATTTTGTGTCAAAGTTGAATTCGTATACACAAGAGATGTATGCGTGAATGTCACCTTCGTGGTCAAGCACATGGATGCATTAATGGGCACACATGTTGAATTGTAGTAGCAACCTTCACTCTTCACTGAATGGAGAGCACACAGCAGTACAGAGGAAACAGCCAAAATAAACCTTCCACATACATTTTCCATCATTGTTTATCACAGCATCACATTGTAGTTTATTATATCTAAAAAAGAGATTCTTTACATTGTATCACATGGTGTTTATACGGGGAAGTCAAAGACCGGGCCCGCGAAGCGGGTCCGGGGTTTGGCTTGACCGGCTATAGACGTGTATATTTAAAAGAAAATGAAATAAAAAACAATTAAAAATATATAGAATTCTATACCTATCAATGAAATTTTCAGTGTCAGTTCTAGTCAGGCGCCGCCATTTACAATGTAACTCAATGATAATAGGTGGGGGTATTCCGATAACGGAACAAATCTCAACTTTTCGGATTAATAATAATCGTTGAGTGTCCCGAGTGAAAACGGAAGCGGTACATGTAATACCGAATGACACCTTTAAAACGGAAAGAATGAAGGGATTTTTTAACGACTTCACCGTTCATAGGCTTTGCCTAATTTCATATTATTATTCACGAATTCGAAAACCTAGCTAAACGCCGTTTTCCGGTACTTTCTGTACATAGCTCTGGGGAATTCACCTAATGGAGTGTAATAGCCAACTCAAAGTTTTCGGCCTTTTTTTAAATTAAACTGAAATAAAACACTTATTTCTTTATAAGAAAATAATTAAATATCATTGTATGAATAATTCCATACAAAAAATAAAGTAAATACACAAGTTTACGCAGAAAATAACCTTATTTATTATGTAAGATTCCACTACGTCGGTTTGAATTTTATTGATTTTTATTATAAACAATTTATTTTTTTTAATAATTTGCAATAGATATTAAACGAATATTGATTATTTTCAAAAACATCAATTTTTTCACCTTAAACGGGTAAATAATGATAGAAAAATAGACATATCTCGTAACTGTGTTATGTACTTGACTACTTCATTTGGTGTAATTCCCCAGAGCTAAAACGGTAACGTACCGGAAAACGGTGTTTAGCTAGGTTTTCGAAAAGGTCAATTATTATAAAAGTTTTTTTATTTCAAATAAAACCTGTGTTATGTAAATAAACAAGTTATCATGCATCTTAACACTTACAGTGTAAAAAGCTATATGAGATGAAATATTTTTCAAAGAAAAGAAACTGTAAATTATGGTTTTTTTCACAACCTTTTGGGCGTTTTTGAATGTCTATTTAAATTTGTAATCTAATATACAACCGATGTATCTCTAACTTTTAGTATCCATAACATTTTAAGTCTATGATCAAAAACACTGCAGTTGCAAATCATTCTTTTTACTGGGATAGATCTACATTACCTGAGGGGACATGGATAATGGTATTGGCACTGAAAGATATACTATCTTTATAATCTTTTACCATCCTGAGTTGTATCCTGTTTTAGAGTATTTTTAATTACATATATCGGGTATCGGGGTACACTGTTAAATTACGATACATTATTATTACAGTAACATTTTGGGTACGAAAAATATAGGTACGAATGGCCTGTCAAATTAATTGATTTCAGTATTCTCTCATAAATTGTAGACAAAAAATCAATAAAATTAAATACCGTACTGGGCATGAAAGATGTTACTGGTTTACCTGACTCAAAATCTTTCATTTGATGGCATTATCTAGAAAAAGTTCTTTAACTAAAAATAAGATTTTCTTTGTGGAGACTTAAATGTCACGTGATAGAAATGATAACGAATGATTTCAGATAATCGTTTTCGTCTAGAATTTATGTTTTATGAGGATATCGACTTTTATTTGGAGACACAGTGGAGTCACAGATATACATATAATATACCATATTTAGCTCCATGATGGAGTGTTGCGCAATTGTATAAAAAGATATTTGCTATTCTTTATTATATTTCCGGAAATTATTAGAATAGAACTAAATAAATGAAAATACGTCTGTTTTTGTCTGTATAGACACAGATCTAGATATATAAATACATAAATGTATTTTAACGTGTCTGTTAGACACTATAAATCGGAATCATCAACAATTTTTGTACTGCTTCCTGTTAAAAAAAGTGCATAATTTGATTCAAACCGGCTAGACCGCAATTTTACTCAATTGTGTCTTAAATATTTATGTTTATCTACGAAATCACTCAGATTAGGTCTAGGGTTTGTACGTTGTTATGGGTTACGGTTAGTGATGGGTAAGAGGGTTATGGGTTAGGGTTTTAAAACATGGATTTTTCCTGCTGACAGATTCTAAAAGTGCTCCCGATTCAAACAATTATTTTCAACTTACGATGCAGCGAAATTACCAACATCTGCGATGAACGCTTTTTAAACGAATAAACACATCCCGGGACACCTCTCAAGCGACACTTAAAAAACACATTTTTAACAGATATGGCTTTAATAGAATTCACCTGAGCAGGTTAAATTTCACGATTTCTTCATACATGATTTTCAATAAAATCATTCATTATATAACGACGGATGATCAGTTCCATCAATGCAATTTATATGTATGAAACTATCTGCTCGAGGAAAGTTAATGATTTTTCCCAATTATACATTATCTGAAACATTAAATAACAAATTATTCTATGTCCCAGATATTACTCATTCCTACTGCCGTTTTATGGCCAGAATTTGACTTTTTCAGTGCGCCAATATACACAAGCCATGTAAAACCAGACAAATATATGCGCCAATTTTTACAAAAACTAGCAGTAGACTGTCAATTTTAAAGCTTTTTGTTGAAAAGCATCCAATTCATTTACAATACACCATTAATTTTCATTTGGACATTTGGTGTAGACCGACAACTTTTGAAAGAAAGGTTGAAGAAGAACACTTAATTGATGATTAGTTAAATATTCATACATGTATTCTGCTAAATTACACTTCGGGACTATCCATAGCCTATGTATATTAATCCATTAATTTGGTGTGAGTTTGACCCAATATTTTCCTACTGTACTGTGAAACCATCCGAAAAAAGACATTGCGAGTCGATGTATCTTTGACGTGTCTAATTAATTATAAAATGATATTATTAGTTTAAAGATTAAACATATAAGTCATAACTGTGATGCAAGCTTGCGACTTATCTGAGAACGCTTTCTGGAGCGTTGTAGCACTAACTTTCCTAGAACTTAGCAGTACTCTACCGTCACAGACATGCTTCATCCCTTAACCTACGAAAACTGGAATTCAGGCGTATAGATGCCAGGTTATTTTTTTTCTAAAAGATCCACCATGGTCTAGTTGCTAGCCCCATATAAAAGAATATGTGACGTCACGTCACAGACATCTGTTGCCATAGACAAACTTTTAATAGAATGCAGGAATTCATGTTTCCTCATATCACACGAGTACTTGGATCTATTTGTATGTAAGCATCCAATGTAAGGTTTTCTGTTACATCCACATATTTAACTGAAGTAACCAATTCGATTTCGGTCATTTTTGAGGTTGACTGATTGGTTTGCATATGTCAAAGCAATGTATATTGCAGTTTCGTCTGCAAACTGTAAGCGGACCTGGGCATTTATAATGTTTTGTGGGAGGTCATCTGTATAGGCGAGAAAACGGAGGGGGTCCTAGAACTGAGCCTAAAAATTGGAGACACATGAGGATACAGGGATCTGATTTTAGCTGCTGCCATTTAACACAACAATCTGCAGTCTGTTATCTAGAAAACCTTTGACCCAAATCGTATTAAAGATTGGAATAGTTTGCCAGATGATGTAAAATGTATATCAAATCCAACTTTATATAAAACTTCTGTTAAAAGCCATCTTGCTTCAATTTGGGCTGCGCAACATCAAAGTGATTTTTTATATTACTAAGTGGCGACATATAATTTAAGTACGCAAAACTTTATTTTTTTTTAGTTATCTTATTTTTTCCTGTGCCTTTCTTTCTGTGATAATGCAAAACTACTGTGATTCAGGGTCTTTCAAATAGAATGGTCTGGAGACAGACCAATTTTACGAAAAACTCTGACTACATTATATTATCAGTTTTTACTTTAAATAGATTTGCAATGAAATTAGAATTTTTTCGTTCCCAGTGTCAAGGTAAAAATCTACTGCTCATATTTGAAAATAGGTCCGAGTTTCATGAGCTTTTTTACATTCATGCATTGGATCTATGTTGTTGCTAAAAATAAAAAAAAAATTAAAAAAATCTTAAAGTTTGACCTGTGATTCCGTTGTCATGTATTTTCAGCAGTATTTTCTCACGACTGACCTTATCGAAAGCCTTACTGAAAATCTAAGAGAATCAGATCTACTTACAATGTACATAATTGCTTTTTCTCATATACCTAGGTTATCAGGTCATTTTACCAACGTAACAAGTTGCGTAACACATGACCATTTTCCCCTGATACCGTGTTAGAGGTGGTAAAGGATGTTATAGTAGGTAAAATGTTTGATAATGGAAGAGGAAACTATGTGTTCCCACGGACCTTAAAATTTTGTCAATTATGGACCGTGCATGTGTTTCATAAACTTACACAAAAAGAATTTTAAGGAAATTGACCTATTTGGAAACATGCAGTCAATAACTGAATTCAAATCAATTATGACACCACTATAGATAATAATGCAATTTAAGAGCATGACTGGTGACAGATAAGTCCGGGACCCGTACTCTCAGTGATAGTCTGATAGACCCTGCAGAGACGCACAAGGGAAACTACTCGTACTAATTCAAGAAAACTTATGAATAAGAGTTATCTTACATTTCGCCACAAAATGGCAATCAATGACCTGAAAATGCATATTTAAAATTTCCTAAACTTTATTGTCTTGACAGCCTAAATCATCAGATTGTTTTTGGTCGCACTTTATTCTTGCAAGTTATTGATATTTCAAAATTGAAAGAAATAATAATCGTACCGTTTAACGCCATAACAAGATATTTTGTTAGATAAATGTTTTAAGTATACTTTTTATGCTAATGCCTCATCAAAATAAAAAACATGGCGACCTCATCCAGACTGGTAGGTGTTTTGGTTACATAGAAAGACTCTCGTCAATTTTGTGCAAGGTATAAATTTATATTTGATTTCTTTGAATGATTATTCTGCATAGATCTTTATAGCACATTTATGCTGTTGTAAAAGAATCAGGTTGCTTCAATGCAGTTGAAAAAAATCAACAAATCCTAACGAAAATTTGAGGTTTGACGAAAATGGAGAAAAATAAAATAACACTTTTTGTGCAAGTGACATCAGCAATCTGTTTATAATTTATTAAGATCAATAAAATGGTGGTTCAATTTTGTGGTATTGATTAGTTTAATTTGTGTGTGTGTGTGGTTCAGTCAGAAATAATTTATGTAGAAATACATCTATGGGTTTCCAATCTTGTTTATGTTGCAGAGTAGGCCTATTTCACATGGGGATATGTCATATATGAAAAAATTCATTGCAAACACGTGATGATATTGATAAATAATAATTTGAGCTAGATTGCTGAAATTCTCTTCATTTCCCATTATTTTCAATTTTAAATGTAAAATGAAAACTGTGGAATAAGCGGTAGCACTGGATAGTGGCTAACATAGGAACTCGAAAACGGGAACATGACACAGACTGCAGCGCATATTTTCAATCGTGTAACAGTTTTTAAAAACGTTTCTGCTACATCTAAATATCTTTTAGTATTATCCGAGTATATGGCAGCAAAAAATATATATATTTACAAATATGGGTTTTTGCCAACAAACAAACTTTTACCGTTTATTGTCCAATTGTCATACTGGATGGCTTATCGTCAAGTGTCTCTGGTTATATAAGCACATCAGGGGTCCCAAAGTACACAGTTCTAGGTTCTTAAATGTTTTTATTGTACGCAAAAGACCTTGTAGCTCAAGATGTTCCCTAATACAACATGATACATGTATCTGCAGATGACTTTGTACAGTTTGGATTAATAATCCCTTGATATTTTTGTGAATAGTTATTATAACGAAAGTTGCATATATGTATGTAAATGTACCTGTATGCAAGTTCATCCACAATATACATGCTATAATACATATAACACTTACATGTATGCTACTCCGTATACTAATTAGCACTGATGCTCAATGGTTTCAGGATTATAAAGGTGAATAACTCTGGAATGGATTTAATTAATATTCCCCTTACTAGAATTAGGAATTCCCTTTCTAGGTTTTAAAGATCTAAGTCATGTGTATATCCAGAGGCAGTAATGGTAAAGACCTATATATATAGATATTGTTAGCCTTTATTTTCATGGACTTTTTACATAGCTGTTAACTTAAACAGAAAGTAATGAGATACTCGATGATATCTAAAAAAGTGCTTTGATTGTAAATCTATATTTGTAAGAAATGTTGAACTGTTTTTAATGTTTCAGAGGGTTCACTTTTTTTCCAGATATTTATACATTGCAACAGCAGGTGTCAAGTGCTGTGTGGCAGTCGTAAAAAGTTGCCCTGTACTTCACTTCAGTGTTGGTATATTTTTCTGGTCCTTTTGGATCATTCAGTCCAGCATTTTAAAGTGTTGAGAATTGAGTTCCGCTCAAGGCGGTGCTAAGGTGGCATGAAGGATGTTGCATTTTTCATTATCCCTCATGTACAGACTCAATCAAATCAAGTCTGCAATTTTCATGTACTTTTGCTGTAAGGATCATTTTTTTCCAGATATTTTTACATGTTTACATGAAATTGATGATAAAATGTTTAT